CGCGGCGCGGCGCGGGGCGGCCGTGTGAAACGCCTTTAGCATTTATATCTCGTTTGTCAGATCACTGGCCACACAAGTACAGTAATATGAGAATTTACCATCTTGTATATTCTAACTTAACCACTATTCAAAACCGATGTCTTTATTATTTAATTATCAACTATCAAAATAAGTTAGATGTCAGTTAGTCGAACTCTAAAAATCAATTATTGATTACATCATTTCATAGTATAAGGTAACTAGTATTCAAATGTTTATATCAAACTAAACAGACATTGTAAAAAGCTATAACTCTATTGATACAAATATTTTATCTCCACATTAGAAGGCACTTAATTTTTTCTAACTCAGAGATATTGATAGCCGGTTCAAGTCAACAAATCACCCAATGTTGTCCCAACACCTTCGTGCTAACCAAACATAAATCACCATAGCAAATAATAGGGAAAAAAGCATATTTAAATAGTCCCGGAAGATCGGACCACCCGCGAGATCGAACCACATTCGGTCCAAACACGCACGACCCTATTATACTCTCAAAAGACAGTCTCCGCCCTTCTATAGTGACTTTTTAGTAATTTACATCTCAACTTGTGTCTTTGTAAACGGGTTTTTTGTTGCTTCGCTGATACGAACTGCATCATCATGCCTCCATTGTATGCCCGGTTTCTGAATGGTATTTCTATCGATTACATTATCTGCTACTGGTAACGGAATAGTTTTTGCTTTGCTCCATTTTAATATGAGTTTATTCTAAAATAGATCGTAATGTGCTGTTGTTAAGTTCATTATTGTGTATTTAAGTTTGAAATGTGCAAACATTTAAGTCCATTTAACGCCAACTGTTCACATATACGTGACGAATTTGTTAAACGTTGGCCTAACGCAATGGTTTGTTTTTTTGCCGGAAGGTATGGTATAGTTTTTTTTAGGGTTTTTGTAACACTAGATAATTGGACCTGACATCTGTGGACAATATGCTAAAAGCAGTATAGTATTTCACCTATTTTAACATAGACTAAATTGTGAAATGCAAACTTAACAAAAAAAAAATATCTTAATTATGACTAGTACAATAGCAACTTTGCACTTTTAAAATTAGTTATTATTCGTGTCCTTAACCTTTTTTACTTAATTATTTACTTTCATATAAAACAAAGGGTTAAGAAACATAATTTACACTAGTTGATTATAACATTGTTTCAATGGTAAAGAAATTGTTGGCCAAATAATTAAAATAACAATAGCCTATCGAAAAAACAATTACATTCGACGAATGACATTTTTATTAATTGAAAAATGCTGTCTGTGGTTGGTAACCTTCAGTACCAACTAACGAAATAATAACTGTATTCAACTAGTAATAAATACCCAATAGACTAAATGTTAGTATGAAAGTTGACTGAGAGTTCTGTATTTGATTCCCAAGATTTAAACTTTGCACATCAATAACATGGATGCTCTTCTGCCTGACGTGCCATCTTAATTATGACCCAATATTTTCCAAGAAATTCAGCACATCTTTTTTCAATGCATTTGTTTAACATTCTGTCTTGCACCGGTTCAACTTAACCGTGTCCCCTTAAGTTTCCGGTTACTTTAACCCGAAGTTATAACACATCTACAGTGTTCACGATGCTCCCACGTGCGTACTTCCCAGAAACAAAAACACATCCCTAATCGTCTCTGTCATTTGTTTAATGATCCACTGATTAGTTCAACTGTGACTAAATTTACTAAAATATCTTACTAATATTATAAATGCGAAAGTTTTTTAGATAGATGTTTGTTTGTTAGAGTTTGCAGCCCAAACTGCTGAACGGATCTCAATGAAATTTGGCATAGATGTAGAGGATAGTCTGGAAAAACACATAGGCTATTCACTTTTGTTTTTTTTTTAATTCCACGCGGACGGAATCGCGGGCGAAAGCTCGTCGATAATAATTATTAAAATGTGGTCCATTTAAGTTGACGTCCCTTTTGAGATTAAATTAAGCTTTAACATAAATTTAAAGGACTTTACCATAACAAAACTTGTTACTAATATATTATAGACATACTCGTAGTATATAGTACTCGTATACTAGTAAACCGCCCTGACTACGCAATGGTC